ATTGGAATATTGTTAGTATGGTGTGTGGTTTAAGTTTGTTAGTAGTGTTCGTAGTATGCTGGCTAATTGTCTTAGTATGCATGATGCGCTTGATAGCATCACTCGTATGTTCAATTTATCGTTACTTTTGCCATCAGTATTATATACCGCATTCTTGATAGAATCATTGGTACGACTACGCTCATTAGTGTTGATATTCTTATAACGGTTAGTAGTATTATAGTTGCCCTTCGTGTGTTTACACTATTAATTGTATGCGTCTTGTTTTACGATTCGGCAGATCATTGTTGTTGCGATTATGATTGATATGTTTATGAATCATGTCATTATTGCTCTTATTAGTAATCGTATTCCGCTTCCTCTTCCTCCTCCTCTTCCTCCTCTTCCTCCTTCTTTTCCTCCTCCTCCTCATCCTCTTCTTCCTCCTCATCCTCATCCTTCTCCTCCTCGTCTTCGTCATCCTCCTTTTCCTCCTCCTCCACCTCCTCGTCCTCCTCCTCGTTCTCCTCTTCTTCCTCCGCCTCACCACCGCCACCACCCCCTGCAGGAGGATTCAGCTGGCTCTCGGTTGCCCCCTGGAGTTGCGAAGCAATCGGTGGTTTCACGCCTGCGGCCTGCTCGGGCGGCGGAATGTTTCGCATGGCACGCCCATTTTTCCCGCTCGGGCGGCGGCAGTGCTTCGTGGCTGTTTTTCCTGGCCTTCCCAAGGTTTTGCGCGTTATCGCACGGGTGTGCAGTGCGTTTCCGTGCGGGGTGTGGCGCGCGGTGGGCAGGGTGCCGCGCGTGGCCACATGCTGCTGCCTGGGCGCTGGGGCGGGGTAGTAAGCGCCGCGCTCTCTATTCACCTGTGGTTGGCCGGCTGCACCAAACGGTGTGGACCGATCGCGGTACTCTCTCGCAGCAGTGGCTGGCTGGGTGTACCAGCTGGCGCGGGTGTGCAGGCCGCTTACAGCGGCCCCTCACACCCCTGTCCCGCACACTCGGTGCGCATCGGGTTTCCGAACGGCGCCAGACGGGGGCCAGGTTGAGTGGTTCGGCTGGCTCCCCTTTCTAGCGGCGTCTGTTCGCACTGGCCCACAGTCGACACTCGAGGCCAGCACGCAATCCACATCCTCCTCCTCCTCCTCCTCCGCCTCCTCCTCCTCCTGCTCCTCCTGCTCCTCGTCCTCCTCCTCCTCCTCCTCCTCCTCCTCCTCCTCTCCTCCTCCTCCTCCTCCTCCTCCTCCCTCCCTCTCCCTCCTCCTCCCTCCTCCTCCTCCTCCTCCTCCTCCTCCTCCTCCTCCCTCCTCCTCCTCCCTCCTCCTCCTCCTCCTTCTCCTCACCCCCCGCCCGAAACGACGGCCGCGGCCTTGGCGTCGGTAGATACCCTCACAAACTGCACCACCAGCTGCAGCGGCTGCAGGGAGCGCTGCGACACCTGGGGGCGGTTGTGCGGCGGCTGACCAGCGCTAGGCTACGGCAGCCGTCGTCACCGTCGCCGTCGCCGCCGCCGTCGGTTTTCGCGGGTTCTTGGTGAGTTTCGGGGAGTCTTGGGAAGATTTCGAGAAAGCTTCCACGGGTCTCCGACGGTCTCTGGAGCAGCATCTACGGAGGGGGTCCGAGAGTGCGGGAGTGCGGGCAGGGGGATGGGGGGGTGCGGGGGGGTGGGAGTGGGGAGGGGGGGGAGCAGGGGAGTGGGGGGAGTGGAAAGGAACGGGGAAGTGGAAGGGGGAAGGGCGAGGGGAGCGCCGGTGGAGACAAGCGAGCGCAAGCGGGGGCAGGAATCGGGAAAGCGCGAGGGAAGCAAAAACTGAGCAGAAGCGAGAACGAATGGACGAGGCATCGCAGGCTGCGCCCGTGCACGTATCCAATCCACGCGCGCACACGTCGAGATCACACTAAACACATTAGTGAGGCACGCAGCTCAACATGAAGGCATCGACGACCATGTGTTTTCATCGGAAATATTGCAGATGTTCAGCCCACGCGCACTTGCTGGAGTCATACCAACAAATCAACCATCTCGTCCAGAACCAACGTATTATCTCACAACACGATGCATCCGCGTTGATCTAGCGTGCGCCCAGTGCAGGAACCCGTATCGAACAACACCCCACGCGCGCGTGCCCAAAACCATTGTCTCCAAAGCGTTTAAAGATAGAGCTCTTCAAAAACATACGATACATGCGTTCAAACAGGAAGTGCTCCAGATGCTTTGGTTTTCGTCGCACTTCCCCACCATCAACCTCGTCAGCGCCATCGCATCACCGCCCTTATCATCATCGTCAATCGGCATCATTGCCACAACCTTCAACCAATCACCCTCGTCACCGACCCGTGTACATCATCATCGTCATCGTCGTCACCAGCACCGCAGTCGTTGGCATTTTCGTCATCGTCATCATCGCCGCCACCATCGCTACTATCATCATCGTTGTCGCCTTTGCCGACGATGTCACGATATCGCGCCGTCCCGAGTCACCCACCCACACTGAAGTTCTGGCGCGCCGGCGCGGCCTTTGAGATGCGCTGCGAAACTCCCGTCGATAAGCACCATCGCGGCCGCATCAGCTGTTGCAGACCAGCTGGCCGCACTGCGCGCGAGGGTGTGCACAACCGCGTCCGCAGAGATTCACCAGCCAGTGCCAAGCTGTCACTGAAACCGTGGCCGCATGGGTTGGGCAAAACAACTTGCGGGTGCAACGGCGGGATGTTTGCGCGAGCAGTGGAGTTGACGACTTCATGACTGACTTGGTAAATTGCACCGCATGGCTTACACGTTGTAGTCTATACCATATGAAGTCCACAGCAATACATACACCGCATAGCTCCCATGACATAGCTCACACCACATACGTTGCACCACAAAGTTTACACCACATGGCTTACGCCACACATATTGCACTGCACCACGTAGCGTACACCGTATAGCACACCCCACATAGATTGCACCACATGTATTTCACCCTCCACTCCCAGGGTTAACGATGCAACTTGGACACTGTAAATTGCATATGATCATGCCCCATCGTGCATTTTCCAATGAATTCATACCATCCCAGCCAGGCGAATATCGACACACACACACACACGCACACGCACACGCACACACACACACACACACACACACACACAGACACCTTATCCCTGTCAAAGCAGCGGACACTGTCGGCTTGTTTGGAGGGGCCCTTCGACGCGAGGCCAGCCCAAACCAAAACTAAAGCACGCCAGCCACCTTTGAATCGTTGTCGTCGTCGTAAGGAGGATCGAGCAAACAAGGGGGATCGAACAATATCGAAATTATGTCGACGGGAAGCCCCTTCCCTTTGTCCCTTCCCCGCAGTGCGGGGGGGGTCCAGGGGGGGGGCCCGGGAGGGGTCCCGGGGGATGGTCCCAAGGGTGGGTCCTGGCGGGGGGGGCACCCGCGGGTGTTCCACGGGGGTGGTCCTGGGCTTTCCCCATGCTGTCCCCCCTGTGGAGAACGGGGACAAGCGTGTGGTCTCCCTGTCGGCACGGGATCTCAGGACCCCTCCCCCCGCCGCGGCTCCGGCTCTGGCTCTGGCCCTGGCCCCGGCCCCGGCCCCGGCCCCAGCCCCAGCCCTGGCCCCGGCCCCAGCCCGGGTCCCAGCCCTAGCCCCGGCCCCAGCCCTGGCACCGAGCCCCGGCCCCTGCACCGGCCCCAGCCCTGGCCCCAGCCCCGGCCCCAACAGAGCCCAATTCGCCCCTTAGAAATCTCCAAGAAGGGCTCTGGAGCATCAGCGTCTTCGCCGCCACTGCCGCCGCCGCCGCCGTCGTCGTCGTCGTCCTCCCCCTTCAAGGTCGGCAGCACCAGCCGTAAAGTCCCTAAATAATACAATGTGTGCACACTCGTTGATCTAAAAGATCATGTTTCAAATCCCTTGCAAAAAGAACTGCACGAAGTCCTCACGCGCGCGCACATGTCGAGATCATGCCAAGCACACGTATTCCGCAAGCGCTTCGGCATACAAGCATCAAAAAACATCGAGACTCATGCGCTGCCCGCGCGCTTTTGCTGAAATCGAATGAGAAGCCATGTGATGTTAGCTATCTCGTCCCAAGGCCCCATTATCATCTCACCACGCGGTGCATCCGCATTGATCTCACACGCGCCCAGCGCACGAATCCGCTCTATACGACACAATATGGGCAACACGCCCGCGCCGCCACGCGCGCGTCGAAAACCTTCCAAAACCATTCATCCTCGAAGCATTTCCAGACAGAGCTCTTCAAAAAGAAATGGTCGCCCTTGCGATGTTTAACAAACAGTCCCCCCAGGTTCCTGCATTTTCCAGCGCGAACCTTTCCTCATCAGCGCCACCGCATCACCGCCGTCATCGTCATCGCCAGTCGCCCCCACTGCCGCCATCATCAGTTAATCACCTTCGTCACCGACACGTTGACATCATCTTCGTCATCGTCGTTACCAAGATCGGCGCCGTCACTGGCCGTGCCGTCGTCATCGTCTTCATCATCGCCACTACCGTGGATTCTATCATCATCGTTGCTGCCGTTGTCGACGTCGTCACGATACCGCGCCCACCAACGTCACCGACCCACACTGAAGTGGTCGCGCGCCAGCGCGACCTTTGAGACGCGCTGGGAAATTCCAGCCGGCGAACGCCATCGCGGCCGCGTCGGTTCTGCCAAACCAGCCGGCCGCTCTTCGCGCGAGCTTAGCACACCCGTAGCGATGCGCCAGCCAGTGCTAAGTAATCACCAAAATCATAGCCGCAGAGACTGTGCAAAGCAAGTTGCGGGTGGGTGGAATGAATGCGCGAGCAGTGGAGTTGACGACTTCAAGTTCTGCAAGGCGGATCACACCCGATAGGTCGCACGGAACGGCTTACAGATCCACATGCAGCATCTTACTGATCCACATGCAGCATACGTCCACGCTGGCAAGCATACGAATTTATTCGATAAGCCAGTCGGCCGAGCTGCCAGCCATCAAACCGACAAGCAAGCCAGCCAACCTGCTAGCCAAGCGTGGCCGTGCAAACAATTTGAATGGGGGGCCCCAGCGAGAGAGGGCGCAGCCCGACAGGTACAACCACGGAGCGAGCAAAGAAAAGAGAGAGAACGAGAGAGATCGAGAGAGAGAGAGAGAGCAAGACTTCCGCTCGGCTTGAGCTCCCGCCGCCCACCTCTGGTATCCCCGTGATGGCGTGCGGCGTGAATATGACCAGGCCGTTGCCGCTGAGGTCAAACTTCGGGGAGAGCGAGCAGAGGCGGGGACGAGAGGGAAAGGCAGGGTGCGGGGGAGGCGCAGAGGGAGGCCGAAGAGGTGGTCCGAAGAGGGGAGCATGGGGATAAAGAAGAGGACGCGCATGGGAGAATGAGGGGGCGAGGAGGGGCGGAGATGGAGAGGGGCATGCGCGAGACGAGGACCGGCGGTGAGAACGCCACACGGGGGATTGTGAATACGGCGATACTTTTCGGAGCGGGAGTGCACGTGGACATGGAAATCCCCAGGCACATCGGACGTCGCTGAAAAAGCACGTCGCGAACAAGAGGACGACTGGGCTCCCGACACACTGGCCCGCGAGGACCCCAGGAGCCCGAGGCGCAGCGGGAACGCAAGTCGTGATTTCCCCACAACGCCCAGATGTCAGGGCTGGACGACGGGCAGGACGGGACGGGAGAGGGCGCAAGGGGCGGGCAAGGGCTGCATCAACAGGTCAACGACTCGATGCCTCGAGGCTTGAGGACACGCGTGTACCAATATAGCGGCACTGCCTTTGCCTGATGGCGCCGTCGAACTGACCGTCGTTCAACCGATGCCCATCCGCATTGGCGGGGCCGTGGCCCCACTGGCCGACTCACCCACCTGGACGGGGATCTGTGCGTGTTTTTTCGAATTTCACGGGGCCTATCCGACCCAGGCGTGACCCCAGGAATGGCAGCACAGACACGAGCTGGCAAAGCACGGAGGCGAGCGGAGGTCTTTGCTGCTGTGCGCGGAGGCATCCCAGTGTGTGAAATCGAACAACGATCAATCTCCCGGGACCTCCGACGACGCGACCTTCCTCATGCGGGATCCCAAGGGAGCTCTCGACTCCATCCCCCGCACAGCGTGCTCGCCCTGGGTGGGCTCTTGACGGCCCTCCCAACGCGGGGCTTCGAAGCAGCGCCGACAAACGCTCGGCGCGGTCCGAGCCTCAGACCGGGCCGCGGAAACTTTTTTTTCCGACAGCCAATGACCAACGTACCACTAGTGCCCACGACTTGCACTGTCAGCTTCAGATCCGCTTCCCCTCGTGGGGGCTATAGCCGCATCCATCGGAAACACTCTAGGGCACGAGAGCGACAGCGCGCTACAGAGGCGGGCCGGGTAAACGTCACCACAAGCAGGGAAGAGGAGCAGGAAGAGGAAGAGGAGAAGGGGAATACCGCTACCGACTCAGCGGCACACTCTGTGGCAGAATGTCGAACTCAGTGGCAAGAGGCGGCATGTAAAGTATTAGGCTGCACCTCAGAATCATGCGACTCTGGCCCGCAAGTGGCAGCCGCTGGATGAGGAGGAGGAGAGGAGCAGGAGGGCAGTGGAGCAGCGCTTAGAAGCTGACTTAACAAATGCCGTCGTCTTCAACGGGGGCATCGACGACCCTGACTCGACAAGGTCGACCCCTGCGAGGTGGCCCCAACCACGACGCCAAGCCAAATAGCAATGACCTATTAAAAGTAACCGCGACGAATATAGAAGTATCTGGAATAAGCAAAGCTACCGCGTCAAGCAAACTACCGAGAGAGAGAGAGAGAAGAGAGAGAGAGGAAGGGGACGAGGAGAAGGAGGAAGACTGCACGCGCCTGCGGATCGCTCCGGGGCACGAGGGCCCCGAACGTTCCCGAGAGCCTCCACAAGTTCAACTGGAGGGAAGGGCTGGCCGAGTCGCGAGTGCCGCCCGCACACGGCGCTGCTTACTAGCCCTCCGCGGTCCAGATCCAGAGCTCCGAGTGCCCAAATACGGGGGGGGGCGAAAGAGACGAGAGGGGGGAGGAGGGCAACCCGAGCACGACGGACGCGGAGGACACAGGAAGCAGCGTGAGGAGCTGCTGCCACCTTCGATTGATACATGCTTGGGTCGGCACTCCGCGCCGCGAAAACGTCAAGCCGAGAACCTGGAGCGCCTTGGCCGCAGCTAGGTGGCCGGATAGCGGCGCGGAAACGCGTCTGCCAAGTACCGCGGGCAACTTAGTTGCCAAGACTCGCCTGGGAAAGGGATCCGGCCGCCAGCAAAACATTTGTCCTGCGAGCGTGGCCGAAACACGGTGCGGAAATTCGGGCAGTTATACGCCAGGGAAATACACGATGCGGTGGAGAAGGGGCGGGGGAAGGAAGGAGGGGAGGGAGGGAAACGAGCAGGGCGGAAGCGGTGGAACTGCCGCGCACGCAATCCGTCGGGCCAGCGGCCGGGACAAAACCGACTGAGAATCCGCACCACGCATCCCTGGATGCGCGCCTGAAAAACGCGGTCGCTGCCGAAATCGCCACTCCCCCAGGGGGGCCACAGGCCCAAGAAGGCAGGGGACCGCCCCCCAGCGGCGACGACGACGACGACGACGACGACAACGACGACGACGACGACGACGACGACAACGACGACGACAAAGAAGCGGCTCCTCCCCCCAAAGGCGTGGGGCCCCCGGGGGAGGCGGTGGGCGCGGGCCTCCCGGGGAAGCCGGTGGAATTCTGACTTCAAGATTCCGGTGGAAATCACAACAAACAGCAGAGTCGAGAACGGAGGCAGGGGACGAAGGAGGGAGGACGCCCAGGGAGGAAGAGAGCAGAGGAACATAAAATCACACTGATGTCGAGGAGGTTTCCGACACCGTCGGAAACCTCCAGGCGCTGTTCTTGAAGGCACAACCTGCTCTGCTGGCGGCGCCCCGCTCCTACGATGGCGCTAGCGCGCGCGGCCGGGACCGAGAACGAGCGAGCAGGCTGCCCATCGGCTCCGCCGAGCAGGCCTCGCGGACCGCCACTTTGAAAATGGCCCCAGCGTCCGCTGCTTCGACCGCGCGGTGGCGGACCGCCAAACGCGCGCGGTAGAGCGCGTAACGGCACACGGCCCGAAGAGCGTCGAGTTCTTGGCGCGTGCGTGCCGCCCCGGCTCGCGCAGAGCTCGTGGAAGCGCACAAGCCCAAAAAATTGGGCAGACACTGGAGGCCGTTGGCCGCGAAAGACTACACTGCTCCTCACTCCACCGGTGGTAGTAGCTGCAGTGGGCGTAGTGCCTGATGATGCCCATGCCCTGGGCATAGCCAAAGGCGCAGCGCCCGACCTGCTGGAAGCGCCGCGTGGTGACCCAACCGTTGAAGGCTGAGCGCAGGCCCGCGGCCATGACACAGGGCGGCACGAACGCACTCAGCGCCTCCATGTGCGACCGAAATCGCTGAACCCGCGCTCCTGGAACCACGTCAATGTCCCAATGATCCAGGCGGCGTCGCATGAAAGCAGCAGCTGGGGCCCGCGGGCGGCCCGCCAGGAGGGCCTTGTGGCGCGCGGCCTGCGAAGTGGTCTTCATGCGTTGCCGGGTCTCCTGCATTGCTGTCCGCATGCAGGGGAGCCCCTGCGCCAGCTCGAGCTCGCGCCCTTGTTCCTCAGCGGCCTCAAGCACGAAGAGCGTGTTCGACTCCAGCCACCGCTCGATGGGAGCCGGCAGGAACTCGCGAAGAGTGCACTGCATGCGACGCCGAAGTTGCCTCGCCCGTCTCCGCACTCGTAAGCCCTCCTGCGGGGCGTCCTCATAGTGGCAGACCCGCGCCTTCGCGGCGATCGACGCGCACCGGATGTCCAGCAGCTCGCAGGGGAAGCCGATGTCCCCGAGCTGAGCCAGAAATTCTGCACTCGCCCAAGCCCCGGGGCCAAGAAACAGCTTGGCGCACGCCCTGGCCTCTGTTGCAGAGAAGGCCGCTGGCAGGGGGCGGAGCTGCGCCACGAACACGACGACAGAAGCCACGAACACCTGGAAGGCCTCGCAGGTGTGGAACACCCCAGGGCCGAGGGCCCCCCAAAGCTGGGCGCGGCCCAGCATCTTGGCAAGCGGCGCCGTCCACGAAGCGCCCCTGAGCCCGGCCCCAGGATCCGTCCCAAATACTTTGCCTGGTCCTTGATGGACATGGCCCCCCACTCCATGGCTTCTCGGGCGATGTCAGCCCGCAGAGCTGGCTCGTCGTAAGCGAACAGGGGGACGAAGACCGTCTTCCGAAAATTCAAGCGCAGGCCCGAAATCCGTGCGCAGTCGTCGAACAGGCGGTGGAGCGTCGGCAGCTGGGCGAGAGCGCGCGCGACGAGGATGACCAGGTCGTCGGCGCAGGCCCGGACGAGCGCAGCCGGCAGCAGGCGCTGGAGGCGACAAAGTAACAGATCAGAGGCGACCGCGAAGAGGAGCGGCGACAGAGGGCACCCCTGCCGCACACCTCGCGCGAGGCGAAAGCCCGTGCAGCGCGTGCCCTTGATGACCACATCGCACTTGTTGTCTTGGTAGAGAGCCTCCAGAAAGCGCAGCAGCCAAACAGGCCAACCAAAATGCCTGAACAGACGCATCATGAAGCCGTGCTCGATGGACGGGAACTCAGCCTCAAAATCGAAGAAGAAAGCCGCAGACTCCGAGCCTGCGATGTAGTGCTCCGCGAGCCTCTCGTCTAAGTCGACCAGGTTAGCAAGCATCGATCGCCCAGGCAGGAAGCCCCTCTGGGTCCTGGAGATCCTGCGCGCGACCGCGGCCTCAATCACCATCCGGACCGCGTTGGCCATCAGGCGGTTGTCGACGTTGGTAACGCTCAGAGGGCGGACCTTGTCGACCGCGTGGTAGAGCCCGCCCTCGGTCGTGCGCTCTGGGGCGCCCTTCGGGATGAAGAACAGTAAGCTGGCATTGAAGTCCTCTCCGAATTCATGGAGCCGGCGAAGGCCCTCTTCGCTGCAAATGTCGCCGAAAGCCTCAAACAACACCTCCACCGCAAGCGACTCCACTCGCCGCCAAGCGAGGAAAGGGATGCCATCGGGGCCGGGCGAAGAAGACCGAGAGCTCCGAATCGCCTCACGTCTGTGCTTCTTCTTGAGGCGGAACTGGTTGGCCGGGAAAGGGCGCCGCTGTTCTGCAGGTCGATGGGCAGCATCCTGCGCCAACCACTCCTCCATGTCTGCCTCGTCGAAGCCGCGACGCTGATAGAGCACAGGAGGCGCGAGGGGGGGAGGCGGCTTGGAGGCGGCCGGGGGGTCTGAACGGGTCGGGATCTCAGAAAATCGCTCGGGATGAGGCCAGGTCAGCTCGAAAAATCAATACCCAGACCCCTGCCGAGGTTCGTCTGGTGCAGATTCTCGCCCCGGATACGCTCCTGAAGAACGGCCCGCAAACGGGCCGCCGAGGCCGAAAAACAAATTATCCCAGTGCGACCCTACCTAAGAGTTGGAGCCCCTAGGAAAGCAGCATAAGTAGTAACAGTAAAGCTAAGCTAAAGCTAAGCTAAAGCTATGCTAACGCTAAGCCCAAGCTAAGATAAAGCTAAGCTGAAGCTAAGCTAAAGCTAAGCTAGAGTTAAGATAAAGCTAAGCTGAAGCTGAGCTACATCTAAACTAAAGCTAAGCTAAAGCTAAGCTAAAGCTAAGCTGAAGCTGAGCTGAAGCTGAGCTAAAGCTAAAGCTAAAGCTAAGCTAACACTAAGCTGAAGCTAAGCTAAAGCTAAGCTAAATATAAGCTAGAGCTAAGCTAGAGCTAAGCTAAAGCTAAGCTAAAGCTAAGCTAAAGCTAAGCTAAAACTAAGCTAAAACTAAGCTGAAGCTAAAGCTAAAGCTAAGCTAACGCTAAGCTAAGGCTAAGCTAAGCTAAAGCTAAAGCTAAAGCTAAAGCTAAAGCTAAAACTCCCAGGGGACTGGGGGAACCGCGGGGCGGATCCTGGGGGAACCGCCCAGGGCGTGTTCCACTGCCCGGCCCCTTAAGCTAAGAGAGTAAGAACCCTTCTAGGCAGAGCCTAGGTAGGGAAAAACAAAAAAGACCTTCTCGAACCCAGAACCTCGAGCCTGCCCCCCCTCCTCGCTGGCTGGAGCCAGTGCCAGTGCTGGGCCACCTCAGACCCCCAGCCGGCTCCAAGAGGAGCCGGCCGCGGGGGATTAAGCGAAGGCGGAGCGCGCGCCAGAAGAACATCCTTCCAGAACATGAGACCCTCCGTCGGCCAAACCAAGCGCAGAACATCCAAGGGTACCCCCCCCAGGATGCACAAGAGCATCCAGCAAACGCGAAGAACGTTAGGGCACCCTCCCCGAATCGACCTCGTTCGTTAACGTTTTCTTTTTCGGCGTTTCGACATTGGGCGGAAGGGGAGGGGGGGAGGGCGGGGTCTGGCTCCGGACCTCTGCCTAAAGCGACTGCTTGCAGCAGTGCGTCCTAGGGGGAAGACACCACCTGCTCGAAACAAGCGCCAAAAACAGCCAAGATCTACTCCATGGGGGGGCCCCCCCCATGGAGGGTGCGAGGGCCCGCGCCGATCGGCAAAACAACGTATCAGAAAACGATCACATCCCAGACCTCGGTCCCACTGTACCATGAGGTCGGGCATGTCCCCCGACAGGGGGATTTTAAACAAAAAATGAGAAATAGTCAGAAAAATGCCCAAAAAATGCTCAGAAATAATCAGAAAATAGTCCCACGACTATTTTTGACATTTTTTTTCAATTCCCCCCTGTAAAGGGACAGGCCCGACTTAACTGTAGCGCTCCGCGGGCAGCGCGTTGCGGCGGCAAACTCTCTGGGGACGTCGCGCCACTGGGGGGGGCGCCGGCTTCTCCTGGCAACCGAGGCTCCAGCAGGAGCGAAGCTCGAGGAGGCTTTCGGACGTTTGAGGTCCCTCTGCAGGGATCATTAAATCCTCCGATCGGGGATCGGGGATACAGGTTCGAGGATCCAGGAATGAGGACCGAGGACCGATCGAGGATCGAGGATTGAGGATCGGAGGATCGAGGATCGGGGATCCAGTTTCGAGGATCCGAGGTCGAGGATCAAGGACCGATCGAGGATCGAGGATTGAGGATCGGAGGATCGAGGTGTTTTTGCGCGAAGTAATGGGGGGCGCGAATTCATAAGGAGGCCGTGGGCGCGAATTCCTGGCGTTTATCGCCCCCCCGTGACGCGCCCTCCAAGGGCCTCAAGACACCAGCACTCCGGAAACAGTGGCCGCACTGGCGCTTTCACGGCGTCGGAGATCTGGGCTTACCCGCTCAAGGCCCGTCCCCAGGACGTCTTCCAGGGTCCATCCTCCCGCGCTTTCCGAGCCGCGTCCAGCCCTGGCGACGGCACGGGCCCCGGAGGGTCAAGAGACTGGGAGAACGAGGAGATCCCCAGAGGCCTCCAGAGGTCTTCAGGGGTCTCCGGGGGTCTCCGTGCAGAGCCCCGGAGGTCTGCAGAGGCCCGCCGAAGTGTATGGAGGTCTGCCCTCCAGAATCGCAAAGAGGTCCAAAAACGTCCGATTACCTCGACCCTCGATCCCCGGGGGAGGAACTGCATGGCGGCAGGAAAAAGTACAAGTCTTAATTTCGATAGGAAGATGGTAGTGGCTGTGGGTGGAAAAACTGGCTGGGGCTGGAACGAACCGAAGGCATTAGGGTGGCCAGGGCTGGCGTGGTCCAGGCCACTTGTTCCAGCTTCTGTGGTGCAGGAGAGGAAGGGATTTCTCGTGACGACGGACCCACGCCATCGTTTGCCCGCAGCACTCACTCATTGGAAGGAGGGGGGCGGGCCCTTTTTGAGCCGCCGCCCTGGCCGCGGAACAGACCGAGCTGAGCCTCCCGACGGGGCGAGGAGGGAAGAAGGTTCAGTAGACACACGCACACACACAGTGAAAGGTCTTGCTCTGAAAAATGCTGCGACACAATTTTCCTCGATCTTGGAGGGCCCCCAGGGTGCCCTGGAGCTTCCGTGGGTCCCTGGGGCCATCGGTCGACTAGAAATTCCACTGGTGCACCTGCTGGCAGGCTGGTCTTAGGTCGGGCGTGTCCCCCTACAGGCGGATTGTCGACGAAACATAACACAATACTCGAAAGAAATACCCCCAACTGGTCAGAAAATACTTACAAGACTCGTCCCCAGACTACTTCTCGACTATGCTTGAATACCCCTCCTGCAGAGGAACAGGCCCGACGTAAGGCTGGTCTCTTCTTTGCTGACTACCTACCAGACCACCCCAACCCAACCCGAGACCCCAATTTCGGGTTGGGGGGGGGTATGGGTTCCATACGTGTTTTTTCGATGTTCCCCGACCCCCCCACCACTAGAAATCGAGGGCACATCTGAGCCTTCGGGTTGGGTTGGGGCGGTTTGATGGGTGGTGATGAGCTGGCTGCTCGGGGCTGCGCACGCGGAGCCCCGGCTGGCCCGGCCGGCCTCGGGTGCGCGAGGAGGCGCGCAGGCCGAGCAGCGGGCCCGGCAGAGCAGCCCGAACGGGCAGGCGCGGCCTCGCAGTGAGCGGCACCGCCCCAGGACAGGGCCGAAGGCCGCGGCGCCCGGGAGGGGCCAGGTTGTATACTGCGGCCCGGTGGGCTCTGGTACGGCCAAGAGGTCTCCGGAGTATACGAGTCCTCGAGAACGGTGAGGGCCCCCCCTGAGCAGCCTTTCGTTCCCATAGGTTCTTGAACAGCTCTGGCGTGTCCGTCTGTCACGGAGGAGACGGAGTAGACGGATCAGGCGTTGCATCTGTCCTCATATGACTGTCGCCGCTTCTGCGCTTGAGCCTTCCGGAATACAGCCCCGGGGAGACAGGGGGGTAAGGTCGAAGATGCTTTCCGCGGCCGGCTTTGAATAATTTCACACACTTCGAAGGGCAGAGGGCATCTGAGAATAACGGTGGTCGTTGGTGCCACGATGTGGATTCCTCTGCGCACTCCAGCCAAATGACAGAGACTGGGAATTCTTCGCACGGCTGTCTGCATCTTCGAGGAGTGGTGGCGACCACACGGGCGTCGCTGACGTCGCACCCTGGCAATGATGATGATGATGATGATGATGATGGTGGTGGTGATGCTGATGATGCTGCTGACGATGACGATGACGATGACGATGACGAAGATGATGATGATGCTGATGATGATGATAATATAATAATAATAATAATAATAATAATAATAATAATAATAATAATAATAATAATGATGATGATGATGATCATCATCATCATGATGATGATGATGATGATGATGGTGATGATGATGATGATGATGATGGTGATGATGATGATGATGATGATGATGATGATGATGATGATGATGATGATGATGATGATGATGATGATGATGATGATGATGATGATGGTGGTGGTGGTGGTGGTGATGGTGATGGTGGTGGTGATGGTGATGGTGATGGTGATGATGATGATGATGGTGATGGTGATAGTGATGGTGATGATGGTGATAGTGATGGTGATGATGATGAGAATGATGATGAACATGGTAAAGATGATGCAGATTAGGTAATTATGATGGTGATGATGACGATGATGATGATAACGACGATGACGATGATGATGATGATGATGAGACTGACGATGATGAGGATGAGAAGGAGGAATAACAAGAGGAATGGGATGAGGATGAGGATAGGGCTGAGGACGAAGGCGAGGACAAGGACGACGTCGAGGAGGAGGAAACTTACTAGGAGGCAGGCGGATGAGGAGCAGGAGGAGGCAGAAGAAGGTGACGGTGGTGGACGAGGTGGAGGAGGCGAGCGAGGAAGCAGAAAGACAATGCAGCAGGAGGAGCCGGCAGAAGGGAGGTGGGAGGAGAAGGAGCTAGCAGGAAGGGAGGCGACGACGACGACGGGGATGACGGTGATGTTGAACAAGATGGTGGTGGTTCTGATGATGACGACAACGGCGGTGACGACGATGAAGACAACGATGACGATGATGACGAAGATGATGATGCTGATGATGATGATGATGATGGTGATGATGATGGTGATGGTGATGGTGGTGGTGATGATGATGATGATCATCATAATCGTGGTCATGACGATGATGATCATGATGATCATGATGATCATGATGATGATGATGATGATGATCATGATGATGATGATGATGATGATGATGATGATGATGATGATGACCATGATCATGTTGATCATGTCCGTACGGATGGTGATGATGATCATGCTGATCATTCAATCCCGCAGATCATGACAATCAGGATGGAGGACTTTCTGCTGACGGAAGAAGAGGACGAGGAGGATCAAGAGGATGAGGACGACAATGCCCATCGTGCTGCTGATGATGATGATGCTGTTGCTGATGATGTTGATGGTGACGGTGCCGATGACGACGATGACGATGACGATGACAATGATGATGACGGTGATGATGCTAATAATGATGATGATGTTGATGTTGATGATGATGTTGATGATGCTGATGACGACGTCAATGATGATGACAATGATGGTGATTATCATGATCAGGATGCTAACGATGGTGGTGTTGATGATGATGATGATGCTGACGATGATGATGATGATCGAATGCTCCACTGCACGAGCTCTTCACCGAAAGCCACGATTGGAAAATAACCGGCAATAAGAAGTTGATGACGGGAGGCGCACACAGGAAAGAAGCAGCCTGATGATGATGATGATGACGATGACGATGACGATGACGATGATGATGACGATGATGATGATGATGATGATGATGATGATGATGGTGATGATGATGATGACGATGATGATGATGATGATGATGATGATGATGATGATGATGATGATGATGATGATGATGATGATGATGATGATGATGATGATGATGATGATGGCGCCTCGACTTGGTCCTTGGTGCGGCCGTTCCCTTCTGGGCGGGAACGCAAGCCCTGAAGGGTTGCTAGGATTCCCAGAGCTAAGAAAAGACATATTACTTGTCATTGAATGGCCAGCGCGGGCCAGTAATAAGTCCCACTTGGCCGCGCGCCGGGCCGCAGTAGAACCCAACGGGCCGCACGAAAGACCAACGGGCCGCGCTACAAACCACTCGGGTGCCCGGGAGGGCCATACCTGCTCGCCCACAACCCTGATTCGACGATCCTCAGAACGTGTGTTGCCACCAACCAGGCCCGCCAGTGCGACGCAGGCGGCAGAACGAGGGCCGGGGCAGACTGCGTGCTGTCGGTGGAGAGGAGCGCGGTGAGCACACGCCAGGCTGACACGCCTCCTGAACACCATCTGGGATTCAGCATTCCTGAACACCAGCTAGGAGGAGCCTTCCTGAACACCATCTGACACACCGCCTGAACACCTCCTGAACACCAGCTAGGAGGAGCCGAGTCCTGGAGCCTTCCCCCAGGACCGACTCGTCATCCTGAGCCGTTGCCTGACCGTCTTGGGGAGCACGGACGGCGGACGGAGGGAAGATCGGAACGACTCGGCAGGAGGGAAGGTCGAGAACCGCAGTGCCGTCTGGCGCCCCCTCGACTGGGGGCCACAAGATTGGGGCAACAGAGCAGTTTGGGCAATTTTCTTATGCCGCCCTGCCACGCGAAGGGAAAAAACACCGCAGCTCCAACCAACCTCCCAGGCGTGGTGGCTCAGCAGCTGTGAGCCCCCACGGGAAAGGTGGGGAAAGGAGGCGGGAGGAGGGAAAGACTCGAGGATCGAATATACTGGCTTCGGCGGTGTCTTTGAGACTCGCTGGGGCCTCTGGAAGCCACTGGACACCGCCCGTGGACCTCCAATGACCACCAGGAGCGTCCGAAGGCAAACCTGCGGTGCGATTCTTTCGAGCCGCCCAGGGGTCTGGGCTCGGGAATCAAGAATCGCCATCCTCTTCAGAATCCAACCCCCTGGCCTCTCCTGGGGCAAGTCTTGATCCTCGCCTGGAAAGGTATCCAGCCGTGGCGACAGGGGCGCCCAAAGAGGTGCAAAACTTCAGAAAGCGTCGCGATCCACGATCCTCATCCTCGCCCTCGCTCGATCCTCGCCCCTCGCCCACGCCTTCGCTCCACCCGTCCCTCCCTCGATCCTCGCCCAGCCGAATACTTCGGCCTCCCTCCGCGGGCGCTTGCGCGCGCGGCCTCCTTGACGGGGAGCACTGACGTCCTCGCCTGGCGTCCGCTCGGGCCCCCCAGGAGAGGTATTCCTTCCGCTGCCCCCCCCCCTCCCCCAGAAGTCCACAGACATCCAACTCTGTTTCTCTTCCTGGATTCCAAAAAAAAAACTTCTCTCCGCTTCGGGCCCCTGGACTGAGCCGTCCTTGGGCTCTCTTGTCCATCTTCGGAGTCGCTGCGAGGCCTCTGGAACCTCCGCGGCCTCCAGAAGAGTGCGGGCGGCTGGCTGGGAAGGCTCAGGGGAGCCGTCGGAAAGGAGCCCCGGGGCCGGGGTGGTCCTGGGATGTGTGTGTGTGTGTGCGGAGTGGTCTTGGGATGTGTGTCCTGGGGGCATATATAGGAATCCGCCGGCCCCCTTGTGGGGCCACCAGGCTGTAGGCGCGTGATTCGCAGTTTCCTGTACCAGTTGTAGTTTCTAGTTTC